TAAACTATCCAGCAAATAATTTGACAGCAAATTAACGCCAAATTGGCACCAAATCCGCTCAAATATTGTCGACAAATCCGGTGCCATCTGTGTCCGCAATAAGCTCGTGATTTGCTGCTAAAGTTTACGTACATAACCTAACACCAATTTGACGCCAAAAGAGCAAGATCTGCGCGGTAGTTTGATGTCAAATTGACGCCAAATTCCAAGCAAGGCTTGCGCGGCGCAGTTTGACGCCAAATTGACACTAAATATCGAGCAAAGCATGGTGACAAAAATTTATGGCTAAATTGGTAGCAAAAATGCAGCAAGTTTTGCTGCCTCCTACCCAGATAGCACAATGAATTCCTAAAGTATTCCCGAAATATTTTTCTTTCTTACGGTTATTCGAACGGTAATTCTTTAAAAATTCGTAAAAATATATTTTCGTCATTGCGTTTGCTGATTTTACTTGAAACATTTTAGATTACTTGATTCCAATGTTACATCACCTTTAAAAATTCTCATTGACACTAGTGGGCTTTGAACTTGGATCCTGAGGCACCTCTGTATTATCAGTCTGTTGCTTTTTGCACTACATCACTTCTTCGATCAATATAAACTTCTTACATTTTGTCTATATGTATTTATAAATTTCTCGAATAATATAATTTTTTGATAATATGATTTAATAAAATGATGTAATTTTAATAAAAATTACATTTTTTGCACGCGTACTTTCATTGTTAATTTAATTCTCCCAGCTAATGAGGTGAGGTCTACAAAATCCCACACATTCTATTTCGTTATCTTTATTATACATTTTTATAGTAAAAATGTTTATTGTAAAATGTTATTAAATAAATAAAGTTAAAAAAGACTATAAACTTTGAGTAATTATAAAAGAGTACAATTCAAAAAAAAATTCACCTACTCATATAAAATTCAATTAAATTAATTAAATTTATGTATAAATGTATAAATCAACGTTTATTATAAATAATTTCTGAAATAATTCAGTAAAAAAGATTTTGATGAAACGTTTTTTTGAGGTATGTGTTATTTCTAGTGATCTTTCGCTCGCGAGGAGGGTGTGATATAAAAATGACTCTTTGTATTCTTAATATAAACATTTATTTTGTGTGTCTATTCTTTATACATGTGTTTGTGGGTGTGTGTGTGTGAGTCTTTTAAGTGTTCGACGAGCCGCTGAATTTAGTGTGATTTTCCGTGGGCTCTCTCCCTTTTCTGGGCCCTCCTTCGCCTCCGGGACTCCGGGCGGAAATGCTCCGGTTCTCCTTGTCGGAGTGATGATCGTCTTCGAGAGCAAACCTTGGAGATAGTAGTCGTCCCACTCGTGAATCTCCGTAGGCTAAGGTCGTGATAGGTGGCCGTGTCAATGGTCGCCGCGGGACGTAGATCGTTTGCAGCTTCCACGTGGTGATAGTCCCTGTCGTGGAGGCGGTCGGTGATGGAGACTCCGGCGACTCCCAGTGAATGGGCGAGGGGGTCAATTCCCGTGTCGGCGACGGAGTCCGTGGTTGAGGAGAACGACGCGTCAAAACCCCTGGTGTCGGCCGAACTACTGGGGGTTTGGTGGAATCTTCCCCGAAAAGCCCCTGCAGACGTCGTTGTAGCTTTTCTGAAGGTCTTCGCCTCTGGGCCGGTTCCCGCGCCGGGGAACCGGCTCGTGGGGGTGTCCGCGTTACCCTCGGCGTGGTTGCTTGCGTTAGACGCTTTGTCAGCGTCTGGAAATACTGTTGCCACTTCTACAGCGGATGCGACGGTTGTGGACGCTTCTTCAGCGTCCGGAGACTTGGAGCCGCTTCTACAGCGGAGGTGGCGGTCGCGCCGCTTCTTCAATGGATGCTGGGACGCTTCTCCAGCGTCCGGAGACTTGGTGCCTCCTTCTTCAGCGGATGCTGGGACGCTTCTTCAGCGTCCGGAGACTCGGTGCCGCTTCTACGGCGGATGCTGGGATGCTTCTTCAGCGTCCGGAGACTCGTTTCTGCTTCTGCAGCGGACGTGGCGGTCGCAACGCTTCTTCAGCGTCCGGAGACTCGGTGCCGTTTCTACAGCGGATGCTGGCCCGCTTCTTCAGCGGATGTGGCTTCTAGCCGAGGCCGATGACTTTCTAGCTGCGGTAAAATGGTAGGGATAGCCACAGCGGCGGTGTGTGCCGACCCCCCGCGGAGTCCGGCTTTTTATTGTCTGTTAATCATGATTTTCTCGCGAGAAAACCCCTTCATGTGCGCGCCGCCAAACGGCGCCGCACGGAGGCTCTAGCGGTTGCGGTGGCGGCTTGGCTAGCGACGCCGCGCTGCCTATGTGGCAGCTGCGGCGGTCGTACGCCGTTTCTCGTGTGGATTTATATCGATCCACCACACGTTTCACAAATATTTTAGAATTATTTCAATATTACATTTCAATATAATTTCTAAGTTATCTTTCGGAAAGCTTTTTGAATTATGTGCGGTGTGAGATATCTTATATTCAAATCGAAATATATCATAATTTAGTCACATTGACATCATCTCTTTTAATGATTATTGAAATGTGTTTCTTCTACTGTCTACATAATTGCAACAAGATATTAAAGCGATATAAACATTTCGGGAATTAAAGTGATTCTTTTAAAGCACTTTTACTTATAATACAATATATAATTATCTTTGTCACTTTTATGTCACTTTTGCGTCATTTACTATTAGTGACATTTAAATGACGAATTATGTCATAATGACATCATGCTGAAGTCATCATGTTTTACGTGAATATGAATATATGGATAACGTATGGATATCTAGTGGATATCCCCAATAGCTTGTAACGATGCACCGAATGCAACGTTATGAAAGACGTCGCCGAACATCATGACTAACGAATATTCGACGCGCCGCGAATATAACATCCCGGCATACAGCCGCGAGATGCATCAATAGTGCCGAATACGAAGAGACCGTCAGGCGAACAGCCGCAAACGATAAACAAAAGCGCCGACCAACCGCGGAGACATCCGAGATGTCACGAAAGCGTCAGGAAAAGCGTATAAAACGCGAGCGATAATCGATCAAAATCAGATCGGTCTCGACTTAGGAATCCACTTAGGAACCAAACCGAGATACTACTCTCCGCTGCGAATACGCAGCTTCCGCTTACGAACTGTTCACACAGTTCAGTCAGGAATACCTGACAATCCGATTCCTCTTACGAATTGCTCACAGTTCGGTCAGGAATACCTGACAATCCGATTCCGCTTACGAACTGCTCACAGTTCGGTCAGGAATACCTGACAATCCGCTTCTGCTCACGAACTGTTCACACAGTTCGGTCAGGAATACCTGACAATCCGCTTCCGCTCACGAACTGTTCACACAGTTCGATCAGCAATACCTGACACTCCGCTCCCGCTTACGAACTGCTCACAGTTCGGTTAAGAATACCTGACACCTCCCGTTTACGAACTACTCACAGTTCAGTTAGGAATATCTGACACTCCGCTCCCGCCTACGAACAACGGATACCGACCGATTCGGACCTGCGCCGCTTAAACCGGCGACAGCAAGAATCCCGATTTCAATTTTTCGTAGCCGCGGTCTCGTAAAACCGGCCACGCGCGCCGACCGCAGACGACCAAAGCGATCATTAAATCGTCATCGTCACGACCAACTATTGTACATACGCGCACTATCGACGAGATTGAATAAAACGAAGACTACATCCACAGTGTAGAGTACTTCTTTAACTAACCTTCCACTAACCCTGGCACACAGCTCCGCCCGTACCATATCGGAAACGGCGGAACATTACAAGCTATTGAATGAATATAGATATATGGATAACGTGTGGATATCCCCATCTATTGAGATATAGTTATTGGGTAGCTATTTGGATATGGATATCTTATACATCTATTAAATGTCTACTAGATGTTCATTATAGATATGGACATCTTATATGTAGATTTCATTGCGCCGCGATGACAGTTACAAGTCGGTAAATCGGTAATCGTAACACTCTCGCCATCCCGTCATCTAACGGAGAACATAGTCAACGGGCATTTCTATGGTGAGGAGACGACGCTTTTTACGCGTAAATTCACGACTTCAGACTTTGAACTAAGATAGCTTAGCTTCTGGAGCACGTCAAGAAAAAGTAAAGACAGTTTTATTAAATAATGTAAACCCAAAGAATCGATTAAGTCCCTCCAGAACTTCGTCAATTCAGCCATTATAACCGAAATGAGGATCTAACCTACATTTAACTAAAGCCGTCGCGTAATTATACACGGTAGCGTTGCTTCGCTCTTACACTTGGCTTCGCGACACTACCGTGTCGCTTGATATAGTTAAGAAAATTCTTCGAGAAAACACAAATCTATAAACTATTGTTAAATAGCTGTTAAATAGCTAATTAGATCATTAATTTTAGATAATTGTGTCAGATTGCTTACTAGGACAATTTTACTATTTATATTCCTTCGTTTATATACTTCACTTTTGTTCTTTTTATTTTTCCTCGTTCTTCTTCCTCTTTTTCACGTTTTTCTTTTCTTCTTCTCTTTTCGCTTCTATAATGAACAAATTTCGAATCTGAGCGACGTTTTCCACACATTAAGCGTCTACTAGCGATCAAGTACCGCCAAAAGCAGTGTCATCTACGTTGATCTAGCGGTATAATAAATAAAATATCATCACTTAGCGCTGAAAAATTATATTTTTATATAATAAAATTATATTTTGTCTTGTGTGTGTGAACTTTTAACAATAAGTTAGGCGAATTTAGATAAATATTTTTGTAACTCTATCACAAATACAAGATATAAAATAATATAAGATACATATTTTTCTGTACTGTATATGATAGTGACTTATTTGCTATGACACCCGCTTGATCGTTAAGCCGACGAACACAACGCTGCTTTTCGCGACGTTTTATCGCTTAAAATAGAGTAAACATCGCTAAAATTCGAACTCTGATAATGATAATGAGTTATATAATGAATTGAATGACACGTTTAGAGCACCAATAGACGAAGGAAACGAGCGCACGGTTGTTATCGAGAATGATTTTACTACTTCCGATGGATTGGCAGTTGACTGGATTTATAGTCATATTTATTGGACGGATTCTGGGAAAGATACAATTCAATTAGCTAATTTTGAAGGGAATATGAGGAAAACTCTAATACGAGATCGTATTCAAGAACCTAGAGCAATAGCATTGAATCCTTTAGAAGGTTGGATGTTCTGGACAGACTGGAGCGACGAAGCGCGGATTGAACGAGCTGGCATGGATGGTTCTCACCGATCGGTAGGGAACAGAGATTATTAATATTCATACACAAAATATCCTTACGGGAGGGACTTTATAATAGAGAAGAATATGACCGAAAATATTGTTATATTAAGCACTGCTAAACTTGCTGAGTAAATCTTTAGAAAACAATTACATAGCACAAACTCGACCTTGACATGTATTTTAAAGTGTTTATTCTTAAGTAACTTGCAGTTTTAATCAAATGGCAATCATTTTTATTTATATAGATATAACATGTTAAAAATGTGGACTATGTTGCATATTGAATATTATTTTTTTGAAATTTATTTGCAATGTGCACTTTTGACATGTTTCTATTATATTTAATTACATGTTATAGAACAAATATATCATTTTTCTTATAGAACAAATATATCATTTTTCTTATAGAACAAATATATCATTTTTATATCATTACCACATTATAAACAAAAAGTATTCCAAAATTACATAAACAACTTAGTTACATTTTATTTAGAGATAGATTGTTGTATTAATACTTTTATTATAAATATAGAGTTATATAATCAGTATACTCTCCAAAACATTTAAAGATTAAATGTCATATATACTATGTAAGTTTTTTAAAGATTTACATTTTTTGCAAATTTGAATTTTTCAACAAAATCGCGCGAATTTTTATTTATGATTATATTTCTTTTTATTATTGTATTAAATTATAATTTAAATTTGTATTTAGTTTTTTCTTTTTTCTGAGATATTAGTTTTATTATTTAGGGTTATTAATTAATTACATTCTATGAAACATAATTTAAAAAGAGAATGAGTAATAAACAAAAATAATTATATGTCATCAATAAATTGCGTTATTTACATTTATCTATCAAATTGTTTCGATTTATAACAAAAATTTATTGCAGGTAATTGTTGGCAATGACGTTAAGTGGCCTAATGGCTTAACTTTAGACCTGATCGGCAAAAGAGTGTATTGGGTAGATGCAAAATTGAACATCATAGGTTCCTGTAATTACGATGGTACCGGCAGGCGAACAGTTCTCTATTCTCTCGATAACTTAAGACATCCCTTTAGTATCACGACTTTTGAAGATTATGTATACTGGACTGATTGGGATAAGGAAACGATCTTCAAAGCCAATAAATTCACCGGGAAGGAAGTAGAAGCTGTAACATCTATCAAAACGCTTCAGCATCCAATGGTAGTTCATGTATATCATCCATATAGACAGCCTGATGGAATGAATCAGTGCCAAGCCGTCAATGGGCATTGTAGCCATCTATGTTTGCCGGCACCTAAAATCAACTCCAGATCGCCACTGTTGTCATGTGCTTGTCCTGACGGCTTACGTTTATTGCCTGACGGATTAATGTGTGTGGAAAATGGTGAGTCAGCAAAAAAGAATACTATGATTAACGAATGACCTTCCGATATTTCCGAATTATTATTATACAATTTTCAGCTGATGTAGCAATCAGATCATGATGAGCAAGTAGATTGACATTAAAAATGATCTTTTAAATTTTTTATATAGTTGACTTGTCATAAATTACGATGTCACAAGTTTAAATTAATAGAATATTTAATTAATTATTAGAACAATTTTAAGAAATTAGAAAAATAATAGAATAATAGAAAAAAGTAGAATATTTAATTAAGCAATGTTAGCATGTGTGGGAAAGTTGCTTGTTAATCAGTTATGGATTATCTGTATATACACGACGTAGAAATGAAATATGATACCTGCGAGAACATTCCGTTGCATGTTGTTGGTGCATTTTTATTTATGCTTATTATGTAAATCGATCAAAAACATGGCCAGAACTTCATTTTTGGATTAAACTTATTTATTCGTTGTACTCAAGAATTGTTTTATGTATATGTTTATAGTATGTATATTTATGTTAAAATGTTGATGATTTACAAAATTATCATCACCTAAACAGTTACAAATCATTTGACATAATTGATATAAGTAATAATTGATCTTATATAAATCTATCATAAAAACATGTGTAAGAAAAACGTATATACAATTCTCGAGTTTGAAACGAAAGAATTTTCGAGTTTGCCATCATCTTACTGAGGATTGCCTGAAGATGTAAGTTTATTATTTTTGTTGTTTTATTTATTTACATTCATGTTGCATGAATTCGGGTATTCCAGTTACTACCACCGTAGCATCGACAACGCAAGCAGCAACACAGCCGTTTAGGAGGCTTGAACCTCCGAATATTCCTACAACTGCCAGTAAGTTTGGTTAGATCATATTTTTACAATTTATCCATGAATTTTTTGGAGGTGAAAGAGAAGAAAAGTTAAACATGCATTTTTAATCACATTAATATATGTAAAATTAATTAATAATTGAAATATTGACGAACATCTGTTCATAACACAATTTAACACTTCATGCCATGTCTATTTTTTATTTATAAAAAAACTAATCCTTAGTTGGTTGATAAATCCATAGGCTTTTTTGTCTTTAAAACAGTTTATACAAAATGTCCAATAATAAATTAAACAACTTTTATGTGCGCATGTAATTGTGTCAAATTTTACAGGAAAGTCTACACTTTTACAAACAACTACATAAATTTTGAATTCATTAATTAAAGAAGATTGGCAAATAATAATATGTGATGCTACTGAGAAAGTTTTATTTACTGAGAAAACAGTATTCGCTTCGAGAACTTCATACGCATGGTTTCTATGGGTTTGAGATTGGGATACATCCAATTAGCATGTTCCGGCTATGCCGGGACTACTAATATGTCGCCGAGCTGTAATTCTCAGCGATGAGAACGAACTCCTTTCCAAGCTTCTACGGGAGCAAACTGACGTTTGAGCTTGTGGTCTCCTGCTAACCCGCCAAAATGTAGCCAAAATGTGCGAAACATATAGCATTTCTAAGCAGTATTTGACTATTGAATTGCTATCCTTGCAATGGATCTATTCATGGTCGAGATGGGAGCAAATATCCCCGTGGGCATCTGATTTCCGCGGTAATAGTCTTAATCACTGCTGAAATCTTCGTAGTTTTTGGTTATAACTAGTTGAAGAGCCTAGGTTGAATTTAGGGCATTTGTAAGCCAGGTTGAAAACATAGGTCATATGTGATCATATATGATGCGATGGATGAGCTCTATAAAAGCGGCGCCTCAACTCTCAATTCGTCAACAACCCTCAACCCTCAACAACCGCCGCCAATGTCAGGTCGAGGTCAACTTTACTTTTTTAAATAGAAACATGTATTTTTTTATTAAGGAATTTTATTCTACGTAAAGAAACACAACTTTTGTTTGAAAACGTTTTTTGTTCGACCTCTATTTTCTAAGATATTTGCCGAAATATCTACAAAATTATTGGTTTCAATAATGTTTTACTTGAATTCTATCAACTTTACCGAAAAATAGCAAGAAATAAAAATTTTCTATTTTCTTTTCACAGAGCTCTGAAAATTTTTTTTTAATTTTTTAATTAAAATTTTTAATTTTTTAATTAGTTTTTTAGTACTGCATTTTCTTGCATTTTTTTGAAGTACTAAAAAGTTAATTAAAAAATTCTCGACCTGACGTTGGCGGCGCCACGCAAAGTTAAACCAATGGTACTTTCTTGTACCATTGTTCTCCATCGAACCATATAACTTTTGTTTGAAACATTTTTGCTGTATATGCTTGGCTGAAGAATTATCAGGGTGTATCTTTTAAAATGGGACACCCTGTATAGTATGTCTGACGATAACATATTCATTTCGCGTATGTGCAATTAAGTCAAATTGAACAAAAAAATTTTCTATCATTTTGTGAGCAATCACGTGAAATTGTTAATTATTAATTAAAGAATTATCAATACCCGATATTCGAGTAGGGTAATATTGTGTTAAACGAATGTCGAGTGATGATAAGCTAGAAGGAAGTGGCGCGCACGGAGCGCTGATTAGCGCTGTGCAGCTACTATCTTTACAACGCTTCACTTACAATATCACACTCAATCATTCGTCAATATTTTTTTTATTAATAACTAAAAATTTTATGTGGTTCGCAAAATGATAGAGAAATTTCCTGTCCAATTTGATCCAATCTACATATACATGAAATGAGTATATGTTAACGTCAGACATCCCGTATAATTCAATTTACATGTGGTATGCAGAGTGTCTGACGCAAGTCATACAAAATCACGTGTGAAGATAGAGCACGTCAATCTGAGCACGAATAGAGTTACTATAATCAGAGTTTGGTCACGAGGAAGCAATTTTTGATTGGTCCGCCAAATCCCATACAGTATTCAATCACAGTACTGCTCTTGTTTTCCGTTGGTGATTAAACATCGTGCTTTCGACCTTCCCCGAGGATATTTGTGGTCATTTAACACACTGCTCTCTTCTTCTGTTTTCTTGAAACTTTATGTCTTTTTCAAATTTGTAATCCTATTTTCTTTAGAAACTAATATGTAATAAAAAGTGTTTACTATTCGTTTAATTGTATTAGCTTATTTATATCCAAAATGATTTTTTTTCCTTGTTTTTCTATTTTTCTGCACATAAATTCTTTTCTCATTATATTTCCTACACTTGTATAGTACACGTTTTATGTTCTCTTCTTTTCCTCCACATTCACATCTCTCCATGTCTATAAACCCTTTCTTTCCAAGTGATTCATTTAAATTATAATGATAATCTCTTATCCTGATTATCATTGTATTAGATTATTTTCCCTTTTACATCATTTCTGTTCGTGTACCATGGCTTTTCTTTCGTTTCTTGGAATAACTTCTTCAATTATATTTTTTGTTACCACAGACCTTTAATGTTTACAAAATTTGTCCTTTCGGTAAATCTTTAGAATAACGTACCCAGCAGCTATGATCTTGACCTTTATATATACAGGGTGAGTCATTTTAGTCTATGGAACCGAATATCTTCCAAATTACGGTATCTACAAAAAAATGGTTTAGATAAAAGTTGACCAGGACAGAGGGTGTAATTCAATTGTACCATTGGTTTTGACCTTGAGGTCAATTTTGAAGGTTACTTCAAGGTCACGATGGTTTTTTCTAATGGAACACCCTATTTTTGACTGCGGATTTCGAAAGAGCGGAAAATTTTACATCAAACTTGTCTTATGAAAAAATTGTTTTTGCGACTTTGGAAATGTCAAAAATGAAGGTGAAATGTCTGAAAAACGATCTGGTGTACTTTTTCTGAAATGACGTGGTTTTCTGGGTAACACAAATGTGCATAATGCTTAAACAAAGTCAATGAATTGTAAAAGTGTAAATCAC